CGTGCTTTCTTTGGCCCTTTGTTGGACCAAAATTTGTTTTCTCAATATTTTCCTCTCCTCGCGCGGTCTTTAGGTAGCTTCGCCGCAAAGAAACTTCAAAAATAATGACTGATGAGCCCACTTTACCCGCCTTTCAATTTAATCGCTGGTCGGGCCGAGCAGGGCGATCGAAATCCGTAACACTTGGGATCACCGCTTTTGAATCCTCATAGCTTCATTTGAACGTCTTTATGCTAAAAGGAATCATGTACATAGGGTTTGCGTGTAACATTGGTCTTTTTAGCATAAATACGTCGATTTGTTCCGCCGCACGCTATCCGATATTGGAACGAAACCAAAATTACTAACGGTGGGAGGGATTACGTCGCTAAAACCAAGAAACAAAGATATCTGGTCAAAATCATCTACAAATCCTTTTCCCGTAGCGAGGGTACTTAATGCTGCAATGATGACTTAGGACATTTATTGCGGGAATGTGGTATTATCTACGACTTTCGTCTTGAAACGCATAGGTTCTAATCTCTCTACCCTTACAACGCAACTTTATGATTTTTTTTTTAACAAAAACAGAACATTTTTGGCCTCAAATTTTCAACCCTTACTGCTGACGATTGCGTCGCTCTTCTGACGCACAATGGAACGAGTCAATGAGAAAAGTCGGACAAAATTTTAAATCTTTAAAAGCTCCTAACTCCATTATTACAAAACTTGGAGGTCTTAAAAGCGGTACCATTGGTTTTCTCGTCAAATTTACTACAGGCAGCACCCTTGAAACTTTGAAATCTCACGAAATAAACATCCGAATTTGCAGTTTTAGTAAAAAAATTAATGTTCCATTGACTCAGCCCACTGTGCGATATGTGAGCCCTGTTCTCCGTATAACGCTATGCTTTCCGGAGCTCATCAAGATACGCCCTTACGTTCGAGAGGCGACTCTCTGAAGCGTAGACAGTTGGTTTGATTTATCGAAACGACCCGGACTTGAAGAGAACGGCGAACAGTTTTTAAAAAGCGCCCGCAAGAGTACAAATGGCGGCCTTAAATACCCTAAGGCGTCACAGTGTTAATGATAGAAAACAATGGATTTTAATTAGGTAGCTGCGGCTCTTAATTAATTTGTGGAGCCGTTGCGTTGTGCGTCGCGTCGCTCGGCTGGGACTCGCAGAGAGGATGGTATTTGACCAAGCATTCATCATTCTCGCGTTATGAAAAGTAACCTCCAGTGAAACGATGCGCTACTGATAAATTGGATTTACCCGTGGCGCAACCTAGCCCAGGAAACTGGCAACGTCGCTGTTTCGTCCTATGAATCAGGGGTACCCTAGTCAGGGAAAACCGGGAAATTTTAGGGAATTTTCCAATGTCAGGGAAAACCTGGAAATATCAGGGAAAATGACGAAAGTGTAACACCGCAATCACACGCTGAATGTGGGAGCTGAATGTGGCTTGAATGTGGCTTGAATGTGGAAGTCATGGGCCCGATGCCTGAATTTTGCGCGTGACGCGCAAAATTCAGCAACGATTCTCAGCAACCATCGGACCAATTTTGAATTTGTCTGAACTATTCGAGTAGATTTGATACACATCTGGATGAAAGTAACTCGAATTTGCTAAATTTCAGCCGTTGGGCGATGACTGTTGACTTCCACATTCAGGTGCTAAATTCAGCGTCTGATTGCGGCATTAGGGTAAAATCGTCAAATCACCTTTATTCCCTTTCTAGAATGGGTTCAACGTTTTGAACAACAAATTTTGCTTGAAATCTACTTCAAATCATGTACTTTTAAGCATCTGGCATATCCTCAATTGCCACGGAATTTCAATTTCTAAATTCTATGGCAACCCTGTCAATGGAGGGGGATTTACAGTTCATGAATCCTTACTGTTAATTAATATGTTACAAAGAATGTAATTGAGCAGCTTTCCTGATATTCCTCATGTAGAGTATTCTATAATCATAAAGAATATTCAGTAAAGTTTCAAGGCATTAGAATCACATAATACTGGCTGCCGTGCTACATTTTCTGTAATATTTTTTGAATAATGTACAAAAATATGCCTAAGTATATGATTTCTAAGGGGTGTGCCTTAAGTTTCTGGAGGAGAACTCTTCCTTCCGGTTGCCCTTTTCCGAGATGGGGGGCCCCAAACCTCTTTTCGACACCCTTCCCTCCAAAATTTTGAGCCAGTGAGCTCTTGCTTCAACTCATTTCAAGATCACTAACGTGATCATCGTCAAAATACTTGAATGAAAGGGTGAAAGAGCACAAAAGAAAACAAATATCGTCGTCTATAATCACCCTGAATCAAAAATGGCTTGAACACAACATAGTTTCTCAAAGGTCAACATTTTTAGAAATATTATCTCCAAATTAAACACCACGAGTTCGCAAGAAACTCCTTTCGAACCATGTCTCTTTTTCCGTTTTAGAAATTGAAAACAAAGGTCTTGAATCATGATAAAATATTTTCACACGGTTTCTTATTCACCTAGCTGTTCCGCAATCTGTGCGTGGATTTTACGTCGAGTCCCTTGGCGTGGGAACCCGAACCTGACAAATGAATGTTCTCGTTATATTGAAACGGAGCTTTTATCAATTGACTCCGTGAACTGTGTCTATGGAAAGGAGAGGGGATGATAAAATTGTCGGGCAGTGTGTGATACGTTGTGACCCATTATGTGAATTCGAAATTGGAGCGCAAGATAATGCAAAGCTATCTTCTCCTCTGTCACTGATTCCTGATGTCCTAAGACATGTTCACTGACTGAGGTATATGATCTCATCGTTGATAAAATAACGGATATGTTTTAAGTGCATACGCAATAGATACGGAAATTAATATCGAGTATAATCTATGAAGGGAGAGAACAGCCGCTTGTGTGCCGCTTCTTCAGTAGTCGCGAAAACAAGACCTTATCCATTTGTACTAAATGAACGTAAAAATTATGCAAGAACAGACATAAATGTGGTTTAATAGTTTTAACTTCCGCCGGCGCGGCGCGGCGCTGCACTGACCGCACTGTGTTTGACGCAACGCGTGAAGTATTTATGAGGTCTAGTAGGCACCATGCGTTTCACGCTGACCGCACTGTTTTTGACGTAATGCATGAAGTATTCATGCAATCTTGTAGGCGCTATGCGTTTCACGTCGGCCGCTGCTGACCGCACCGTGTTTGACGCAATGCGTGAAGTATTCATACAGTCTCGTAGGTGCTAATATGTTACATGCCAACCGCCGCCGCGCTGAGGGTTTCTCCTTTTCATATCTTGTCCTCGTCATTATTGCTCTCTGCGCCGCACCGCTCCATGTCAAATTGCGTGTTTTGTTTCTGTCTTAACTCGACTAATTAAGAGTGCTGTCTCTTGTCTCACCGAAAGACGACAAATGGGGAAATTACTATACTCTCAGGAAATGAGAGATTTTGCCGCCTTTTCTCGTTTGTAATTTTGTTTTCTGAATCCGATTTTCTTCTTATACCTACATTTAAAAAAATTGCAAAATTTGCCGCCACGGGCCGCGGCCCATGTGGCCACCCCCTTAATTCGGCCCTGATCATGCTAGGAAGTATTTTCTCCCAATGAAGGCGTTTCTTATACGTCAAGACTCTTCGTCAAAAAATCATCTGAAGAAATCTACTTACACGGGATCTTCCGTTCACTTCTTTAACTATCCATCTATATATCTATCTATCTATCTATCTATCCAGTTAGTTAGTTTCTATCTATGTATCTATGTATCTATCTATCTATGCATCTATCCACCTATCCACCTATCCACCTATCCTCCTATCCCACCTATCCACCTATCCACCTATCCACCTATCCACCTATCCACCTATCCACCTAGCCACCTCTCCACCTATCCACCTATCCACCTACCCACCTATCCACCTACCCACCTATCCACCTACCCATCCATCCATTTATCCATCTATCTATCTATACACTCCTTGGCGCGATATGAAGTTCAATCTGAAGAATTGAGCGCGCGGAATATTCGGAAGGCTGTAAAGAATATCAAATCAAATAAGTGATGATCCTAGGCCTTCAGAATTCTTGGTTTTCCATGCAGAGTCCTTTCACGAAAGATTGACCAGTTTCAGTGGCAATACCCGGGATGTTGCTGAACCTCCATTTGCACGATCCGCCAGAGCCAGAGATGCGGAAGCGACAGCGGGCAAAGCTTACCTGAAGTAGAGAAACCAACGCGACCCGTCTCTCCTTTTTAGCGTTTGCTCGACATCGTTGCGACGCACAGTGGAGCTAGTCGGTGGGAAAGAGGGACAAAATATGGAAACTTTCAAGTTTGTATCTTCGTCGATACAAGAAAACATTTCGTGTTTAAGTATTCGCGGAAACTACTGAGTGAACTGAGCACGAGGATATCTTTGGTTCATGAATTGAACAATTATTGGAGAAGATATTGTGACAAAATTATCTATTCTGCCATAATACGAATGTTTAAATGGGAGATGCCGCCAGATGACGTCACTAGGCGATGCATTTTCTCACTTTTAAATCTATTTTATACTATTTCCCATAACAGAACGATATTATAAAAAATACTGTAAAATCAGCTCTCTAAGCATTTTCAGATGAAGCAATACAAAATGTGCATACCAACTCTCCATTCATCGAATGAAGGCGTTCTGTCTGATGATCACTGGAAAAAAACACATTGGATCCAGAGTCCAGACTCTTGAAAACATAGACAAGAAAAAATACTCTTAATTCAATCAGATTTAAGCTTAAATCAGAGGGAAATCCGCTCAAATTAAGAGGCTTGGTTCTTGATTTAAGCAAAAATCTGATTGAATCGAGAGTATTTTTTCTTGCCAATGTTTTCAAGAGTCTGGACTCTAGATGCAATGTGTTTTTTTTTCCAGTGTGATGTCTTCCAACTTCACCGGGAAAGGTCTCCTGACAGTTCGCGGAGAAATGCATGGCAATAAGTTTTCCCCAAATCTCATTGAACATTTGTATTTGTTTCTGTTTCAGTGGTCTACCAGGAGGCGGGAAAAGCGGTGGCGGGCGGGGCGTGACGCCGGTCTACCTGCGATGCTCCGAAGGGGCGATCTCGTGGTCCTACCCTCGCGGCGCCCTCCGCGTCCTGCTCCGGCTGGGCTCGACGGGGCGCGACTTCCGCGGGTGCATCAAGGTGGCGCCCTCCTTCGCCGGCGCCCGGCTCTTCCTCGAGGGGCCCCGCTCCCTGACGCCCCTCTTCACCCCCGACGACGGCGCCGACCCCAGGCTCGTCCGCTGCTTCCACTCCTCCCACGCTCAGGCGGCCATCTACGTCGAATCTGAGGTCGGCGAGGGCCCCGTTAAGATGTTCCCGAAACAAATGGCTGCCTTCTCCTATGACCTGGAGCCACTGTCCAAGCGGCATCCGGGCGGATCCGTCTATGATATCACTGACGGTGAGTTATCTCTTTCGTTATCTAGTTATTTCGTCGCCCGACTGACATAAGGGCGTAACGACATATTGAGATGAGCCCGGAAAAGCATTGAATTGTATGGACAACAGGGTTCATTGCTGATTGTAGTTACGCTCCCATGTCAGGCAGGCGACGATTTTTTCAATACGAAACATAAACACAGGGAAATGGGCAACCAAGACTGAAAACAAACGAACAAAATGTCCGGGACGTTTCGGGGTGGTTTCAACCCCCACCTCGACCAGGAGACAAAAATTATAAAAATTGAAAAAACCCTCTGACCCCCGATCGTGGTAACGATTTCCTTTCCGTTATCACGGGAAAGAGCCTGAGGGTTTTTTTTAAATTTTTATATTCTTCAAAGTTATTGTTTCCTGGGCGAGGAGAGGGTTGAAACCAACCCGAAACGTCCCAGGTATTATGTTTCCTCACTTTTAGCCTTGGCAACTCAATTTCTTGTGTTAATGTTTCGTTAAATTATTCTGGCTATTTTTGTGTATTATTTTAATAGATATTTTTTTCTTTTTTTTTTATCAAGTTTTATTCTTTCAGCTCTTATATAATGGTAACTGTAGTGCTCGATGCCCGAAGGGTTGGTTCGACTGGGAGTAGTTGTTGGTCAGGGTCGTAGATGGCCAGGGAGTGTCGTAAGGCGGAATGCACGTGAATAATAACTTCAAGCACCGACCCCACACGCATCTACACCCCCTTGATGGCTATTTCTTTTGCATGCTTATGGCTGAAGTCGGCAAATATGTTCCCTTCCCAATGCCCATACGTAAGATAATGTACCATACCAGTTGCGTAATAGTGTTGATTGAGGGCTTTGAGCTTCATATAAAATCGAACACCAATTTTTCGGTCTGATTGGACAAAATTAGTATCCTTGAAAAAAAGAAGAGAAAATAAAAAAAAGTAAATGAATAATATAAAATTAAAATAATCCGAACACAAATTTATATCCCCTCTCCTCGTTTACACGTTTACAAATGTTTCAATAGTGAAAGAGATGGATTCAAAGTTTTTGAATGATAATAGACCTTTCAAAAGCCTCATTTTACATCTCTGCTGACAGGTGTTCAGACGCCATTCACTACGTCGCTGCACCAACCTGCGTACTGCCGTGGTGAGAAAAAACATCGTAAGAGCTTTCTAACATTGCCAAATTTCCTTTAATAAAATCCGAATTTTCCGGGAAACGTGTGTATAATTTCCTCTCAATTTTTCAGACAATTTGCCTCGGAATGGAGATGTTGCATGTGTGAGGAATTTGCGATTTGACCATTGATTCTTATGTAGAAGTTCGCGAGAAACACGATGGTGCCACTGGTTTTCTCTGAAATCATCTCCCCAGCTCAAAAAAGCTCTGAAAGTGAGGCCAATATGGAGGAGATATCTCACCCTACCCTGAGACCCTACCCCTACACCTCTACATCAAAACAAACTCTCCATGCAAAGATAGGGAGCAAATACATTAGCAGGGTTGCCGTGTTTTCAGTTTTGGAGTCCCCAAATAAAGTGGCAACCCTGCTAATGTATTTGCTCCCTATCTTTGCATGGAGAGTTCGTCTTGATGTAGAGGTGGACTCTCAGGGTAGGATATCCCCTCCATTTTGACCTCACTTCGAGAGCTTTTTTTGAGCTTGGGAGATTGGGAGCTTGGGTTTCTCGCGAACTTTTACATCAGAATCAATGGTCAAATTGCAAATCTCTCACACATGCAACATCTCCATTCCCAATTTGATCTAAATTCTCTGAAAAATTTCAGGGGAAAATATTCATGATTATTCTCGTAAATACCCTTTTTATTGAGGGAGACTTGGCAACATTCGAATGTCGATACGGCGTTCTCCCTTAGCACCGCAGCGTAACCCTGGTGATGGATGCAAGAGGGCCCCCGAGATCGAGCCGGGGCCCTCGGGTCTCGGTCCCCGACGCCTTCACGGAGCATTTTGTTTAACACGGGGGGCGAGAGGGGGGGGCAAAGGGGGTGTCCTTTTTTTCTCGTCCTCTCTCCCTCTTTCTCGCGGGGAATCAGAGCGGTGGACGCGGAGGCCGGGCAGGACGCGAGGGAAATCGTGGCATGTGTTAAGTGTTGCCTACACAAAGGATATTATGTTCTGCACAAGTATCCAATTGTACGCTGACCGCGGCCGACGCGACGCGAGGCGACGCACAGAGGGCCAGGAATCGAATTTAGCCGGACAAAAGTCCATTTTGGCGTGTCCAGAAAATTCGAAAATAGACACCACTGAGCGATAAGGTATAACATGGAGTATCTGTACATCACTGGGTTTGGGGGTCTTATCACTAATAAGACTGCGATGCCAAGATTCTCCCGAGCGCGCGTGGTGTGTTTATTTATCCTCTATGCTGGCTTGGTTCAACGCTCATCCAAAATGTTATGTTCCACAAATCTTCGAGTGTTTCCCAACATGGCGATTGTTTTACCAAGTTAGATTAACATGTTTTCATTTTACTTTAAGGTATTTTTATCAATTTTGTGCATTGTATTGTTAGGTACACAAAATTAAAAACTGGGCATGAAAATGGCCTAATTTTTAGGTTTAAAGTGGTCTGCAATTTTCTGTAAAGATCTGTAAGGTTACGGACCGCTACCATGTGGCTCAGTACATCCTAAGCATCTAAATTTTCATTGGTTCATTTGCCTTCTCTTGCCTTACCGTGAGTTATGAATTTTTTTGTAACGCAAGATCGAGGATTTTATGCTAATTTCCTATATTAGATCACTCACGTGCCAGGCATTGGCGATTCTTGCATGTTGGCATCAATGCTCTTTCTCAATGTAAATACATTAACGAAAATCGATTCTAGGTTAGGATTTTCGATATATATCGATTCTATCGTAGATGTGTTCATATGGATGAAAGGCAGTGTTGCCAAATTGCAAGCATGCCGTATAATGGCGCTATCCTATGCTAATCTACTTATATTGTTATTATAGATGTCCAATGTCCATACGATTGCGGCCCCGACTTCTAGGGTTAAAATATGACTGATTCTGAATAAAATTTTCTAATTCAAGGTTTTATTCCGGCTTTGTCTTTCTATCTTCTAATTCTGGCAAAAGAAGTGCATTCTTCAAGGCAATATTTACATTGGTTCCGCCAAAAAATTACATTGGTTCCGCCAAAAAATACGCGACATGCAGACGACTCCTGAATTTTCTGGACATGGCTGAAGGATTCAAATGGTCAATTTTAAGTAAAAGCATACTCTGAAACTTGAGAATTTCTTTGGTTCACTTGCAGTTTTCGGCAATTTTCTGAGCTATGAATATTTTCGTTGGGCGAGATGAGATGCAATGCTAATTCTGCTGAAAAATACGTGACATATATTCCCATATATTACCCATAGATAAATCATCATTTTTCAAATTTTTTGAATTGTAAACTGAAAAATGTTGAACAAAGAAAGCAAAACTGTAATTTACTCACCAAAATAATCCTCAGAAACCAATTTCTTCACACAAAACAAACTCAGGTACCTCTGAAGATTTGAGTGAAAAATTGCTATTAATTACCCGTTGATAAAGCAATTTTTTTTAATAATTCTCATCAAAAACTTCAAAATTTCTTTAAAAAAACCCAAAATATGGATTCAGCGACCTAAATTACCCTTTAAAACATACATTCTCTCATATTAGTAAGTTCAGGCGCCTCTGAAGACTTTTGTCCGGCTAAACTCGGCTGCTGGCCCTCCGTGCGACGTCGCGAGAGGAGTGAGAACCGAGCACGGGCCATGAATTATTCATGGCTCTTGAGCTGAGGTTGTCTCCTGTCCCGGGCCCGAGCCTCGCTCCCAGATGTAGGTGCTCCCGCCGACCGCACCAGCATCAAATTTATGTCGATTCCCAATCCAGGATCCAGGATTTTTACTTTGGCGCTCGAGTGGTGATGCCGGCGATCGGTATCGCTCGAAAACATTAGAACAATGAGACCTTTGCTAAAAGGACGCACCAATAACTAAGCGAACAAAAAGGGATCGTGGCTCATACAATGGAAAATTTGCAGGTGTCTGAAATCTGGCGAGTTTCGTTGCTGAGTGGAAACCAAGGTAGATTTACACAGGTATGGACAAATTGAAAATTTCCCATGAGCCTCAGTATGCGTCACATGACTACGTGACGTAGGTTAAGGGGCCCGTTTTTTAATTAAATTACAATCAAATTAACATTCAAACGTGTGTGCGTTTAAACGTTAAAATTAATATCGCATTATCAAAATTGTGCAAAAAATCCCACAAAATTTTGACAAACGATAAACCGAACATAATAAATCAAAATAATCAAAACATACAAAATGGCGGAAGTTAAGGGGCCTCTGGAGAGCCAATCAGAGGCCAGTTGTTTAGTTCTGTCCATACCTGTGTAAATCTACCTTGATTGGAAACAACTGATTGAACTGAATACGAGAATACCCTTGGTTCATAAATTGAGCAATTACTGAAGGAGATATGATGAAATTACCGAATCTGCGAATATACACGTGTTTAAATGGGAAATGCCGCCAGATAACGTCATTAGGCGGCGCATTTTCTCAATTTTAAATCTATTTTTATACTATTTCCAATATTCAATATCAGATCCGCACCAGGATCAAATTTATGTCGATTCCGAATCCAGGATCGAGGATTTTTACTTCGGCGCTCGAGTAGTGATGCCGGCGATCGGTATCGCTCGGAAACATTACAACAATGAGACCTTTGCTAAAAGGACGCACCAATAACTAAGCGAACAAAAAGGGATCGTGGCTCATGCAATGGAGAATTTGCAGGTGTCTGAAATCTGGTGAGTTTCGTTGCTGAGTGGAAACAACTGATTGAACTGAATACGAGAGTACCCTTGGTTCATAAATTGGGCAATTATTATTGGAGGAGATGAGATGAAATCACCGAATGTGCGAATATACGTGTGTTTAAATGGGAAATGCCGCCAAAGGATGTCATTAGGCGGTGCATTTTCTAAATTTTAAATCTATTTTTGTACTATTTCCAATATCAGAACAAAATTCTGAAAAATACTGCGAAATCAGCTCTTTAAGCACTCTCAGATGAAGCGATAAAAAATTGCGTGCAAATTCTCCATTCATTCTCAAGGTGCATTTCAGCCGATCCACAGTGCTTTTAACTTCCACCGCCGCGCCGCGCTAACCGCACTGTGTTTGACGCAATGCGTGAAGTATTCCTACAGTCTTGTAGGCGCTATGCGTTTCACGTCGATCGCTGCTGCACGCACTGTGTTTGACGCAATGCGTGAAGTATTCCTACAGTCTTGTAGGCGCTATGCGTTTCACGTCGATCGCTGCTGCACGCCTTCTGTAGGCGCTATGCGTTTCACGCCGCCCGCTACTGACCGCAGCGATCGTGGTGTCTTTGACGCAATGCGTGAAGTTTCCATGCAGTCTTGTAGGCGCTAATATGTGTTACATGGACCGCCGCGCCGCGCCGAGGGTTTCTCCTTTTCATCTCAAGTTCTCGTCATCATTGCCCTCTGCTGAAATTGCTCGCCACCCTTACATCCACCAAGACTACCACCAGTATCCACTAGGATGGCTACAATTCCATCTTTTTCATGTAGGGATCGAAAATCTTGGATTTACATTTATCTTTTCATCCAAAAATCTGTCCAATCTGAGAAAAACTCATCAAGTCATCTTGTTTGTTTCAGATTGCAAACCTTGCTCCAACGAGGAATTAACTCAAGCTTTTTGCTCAAGTGATTTAGGTAAGTTCTCATACATTTTCAGATTTCTCATGTAATTGTTCCAGCAATTTTCATATATTCTGCCTCGGATGCTCGCCAACTTTGGAACTTTTTGCAACAAGAAAATTAGCATATATTCCTAACCGTAATATTTTGCTTTTTTGGGGGGCTTAGGCCTGACGTAATTGCACTTTGATTTCGACAAAGCATTAATATAAGAGTGGTGCGAATAAAAAAGTTGAGTGATATTTTTGGAAAAATCAAGGTATCGATCAATACCACGAGTTCAAGTTGTTACAACACTGCTGCTAAGCACTGCTATTTTTTTCGTCTCGATGATTTATACAAAATTTTTTCGTCTCAATGATTTATACAAAATTTTCAATACCTCGCGTGTCAGGAATTATACCCTCATAATATTCTGAAGCTGCGGCAATGAGTCATTGGGTTGTCTCAGGAGGGGGAAGGAACACCTCGGACGCTTTAAGAGGGAATGGACAGTAATGGACATCTCTGGGAGGAACTCATCGTATCATACCCGTAACTGGCCGTTCAACAGTGGCGTGGCGTGCTTTGCGATGTATCGATTGATTTGTCATTTAAACCTATGGTAAATAATCGATTATTAAGGTGTTCGCTGCGAACACCCTGTTTATCGACCCTTTTCCACAGGTTTAAATGACAGATCAATCGATATATCGCAAAGCACGCCACGCCACTGCCGTTCAACCTCTCGAATCGTCTCAATTTTCTTCGCATACAGATTACCAACGTTTTTTTCAGTGTTGACTAGCTTTCCCAAGAAAAAATTTAGTATGATAAGAAGTGATGCAACGTTGCCAATGGAGATACGTGTTTTTGCACTTTGGCCATAGATATGAAGAACCCGCCATGAAGGAATATCGGTTTGAATGCATTTTGTTGTTTGTTGCAGTTGTGAACGGTTGGATCGGTCTAATCGAGAACAAGTACGAGCTAGAGGTGTCCGAGATGAGCGTGAGGGTGGCGAAGTACCTGCGGCGCTCCATGGTGGACACCGACGAAGGGCACCCCCTGGAAGCGCCCCCTGACGTCACCGAGAGGAACTACCCGGCCCGAAGGGACCACCCCAACTCGATCGACGGAGGAGAAGAGGACGAGAAAGTGCTGATCCAAGTGGCGGCCCACTGCCGGATAAAACCCTCCGACGGTGGCCAGTTCATCTTCATGGCCCGCAAAAGGCTGGGAGACTACAAGCTGGTCTGCGCGCCACGGCTGAGCGAGTGGAAGGCGCTCCTCACCTCCGAGGCCGTCAGGAACGGAGCTCACTGTGTTCTCCGCAGCTGATATCCTCCTCGCCCGATCTCGCGGAACTTGTGATATTGTTGAGTCTTTCTTTTTGTTCTCTCGTTGAAATTTATGTTATGCTTTTAAATGGAATCCCTCTCTCCCGGGGTTGCAATTTTCCATGAAGAATGAAGACTTTAAATGAACTGCGTTTAGCCGAAAGGAACCAAGCCACATCAGCTATTGCCAAATCTAACCGGGTAATTTAATTTTTTATAAGAGAAGGTTTGTGCGGTTCTTTTGACATTTCTAAGGAATTTGCTTCGTGCTGGACAGAAGATTCGCCAAAATTTGCACGAAAGTCCGCACAACCGTTTTTTTTTGTAACAAAATAAATTGCCTCTTTAAATTTGGCAGTATGGGTCGGTTCCTTTCTGCCTAGCGCGGTTCAAGTTTCATGTGAAATATTTCATGAAATTTCAGGAAAACACGAGGTACGTTGAAAAATATTTGTCGAAATTAAATAAATGCAAAATTAAGTGGAAGGCAAATGGTTTTTACTTCATGGTGTTTTTCAGAGCTTGTTGCAACTGTTGCATACCCATTCCCTGAAAATTTGTCTCATATTTTTTACAACTTTGTGAAATTTCATGAACTATTTCACGGAAATGTCCAATCTTTTATATTTTTCATTTTATTGTGCATCCCTGTTCTCTCTCTCTCTCTCCCATTTGCTGATTTTTAAACTGTTCTTCATTTAAAGAATAATTCTAAAAGAAAAATTAAAGGAAAGCAAATCAGTGCTTCTCCTCCGGCCTTATTTTTTGTTAAATTTTTTTTTTTTAGCAGGTTTTAGAAGGCAGTAGTGCTGTCCTTAATGATTTTTAGCATCTCTTTTCTATCCTCGACGTGTTTTATTATCTCTTTTTCCACTTTAAAGTTTATTTTTCTCTGATTGTGAGTTTATCGTTTTTAAGTCAGAAGCTGTTACTTCTCAAAAGCCAATTTTGTTTTCGACTGCTCGCTTGACTTCATGAATAGCTCGATTGATTTTGCCGATGATCGGATTCGCAAGTAACGGTAACCAATAATTTACGCCAGTTTTGTGCCTCTTCTCATTGGCAATCAGGAGCACCCATCTCTCGAGAATGATCATTAGATTTCAAAACATTTACATCTGAGCTTGTAGCCAGGGATGCAATTTGTTTAACGCTAAACTTATCTTAAATTCCCCCAAAGCTGCTAGTTTTTATTACATCTATCATTCCATAGATGTATCCATAAATCTTTCTTTCTCTCCTGGCGCCATTGCTTAGCACTGAGACAGAATCTATAAGCGAACAGATGATCGAAAATTCTTGAAGTTGAGTGTGCAGCTGGTTGAAATTATGTGAATACGTGTAATTTTTTAAATTCGTTATTTTTTTTGTTTTAAACAAAGTCAATTCTACTTTCTTTTTTATAAATTTTAAAAATATGCGGTCCGCTCTTCGTCGATGTATTGTCTAGTTTTACATTTGATCAATCCATGATGTAAAATGTCTATGGAATCGTAGAATTTAGGTAGAACCTAGAGATTCTGCATGAATATGATTTTCTAAACTCTAAGCGCCCGTTTCGTGTATGCATCAAAGGCAATAAGCAACAGTCGCCGGCAATTTTTAAGCCTCTAGAGCCCATCTCATATTAGCTACTTTGCCTCTTTTGCTGTATGCGCGGTATAAGGAATTGCATACACCAAAAGGGGAAAAGTAGTCCGCTGCAACGGGCTCTCGTGAACAATTAGAAAAATAAAAATTCTGTATTGAAGGAACAATATTAGGTTATGATTATTTTACCTTTAATGTGAACCGACAACTTTTCCTCTGTAGTAGCTGACTCACTTTAGGAGAGCGTGTTGTGAAAACCATGACCCTGTTTGAGTTTGGATCAGACATGCAACTAAACTAGCTCCGTGACAGTGCGTAGCGTATCACCGAAAATGAAGGCGTTCCAACCCGCTTGCAAATTTGCCGGAGATTGCTAATGGCCTGCAGCATACATGTAGGTACCGTCACACCATAGGCATATAGGTACTTAAGTACTCACCGTGAAAGGTAGCATTCCGGAGTCTTTTGTTTTTGTCATGGGGCATGTGTTCGAAAATTACAACATGTTACGGTCCCGTAAAATATTGTTTTTCTCAGATTTCGTGTGATCCTTAAATACTTTGCAGATACAATGTTTTTCGAAGCATGAAAAATCACGGAGAATAGTCTCGCATCGTAAAAATATTGGTGGCAAATGTTATGCACGCACTCTTTAAATCTCTAGCGACTTTTATCAGTAGCGACTATATAATCAAACTCGGCATGTGCGTGTAGCTGACAATTCAAAGACTGTAGTCCATTTACTCCTCCACCATGCTAAGGAAGAACGCCGTAAAAAGTTAAGAACATTCGAGAGTTTCCATAGTGTTTCCTTTAAAATTTTTATTTTCAAGAAGAGTTGTGAATATTGCCTCTTGAAATTTTCAGATAATTTAGATCTAATTGCGAATAAAATTCTCTAAATAATTGGAGGAAAAATATTCTCAAATTCCTCCAAAAATTCGTATTTTATCAAAGAAAATTTGGCAGCGTCTTTAGGCTCATGCGGCGTTCTTCTTTGGTGCGGCAGTTCTGTACTTTAACTGAAGTTATTGGTGAGTATACATCGGGCATTTTCACGTAGATATCTCGAAATATATGTATAAGTAGTGGCGATTCCAGCAAGTTGGCAACACTGCCTTTTCTCTATTTGAATACATGTCTTATAATCGATTCCTCTGCCTCGCCTAGAATCGATATATTCCATGGATTTCAATAGGGTATTAACAGTATTGCCAACTTACGGGGTATAAGGGGGGTATAAGGGGGATCATAGAACTGAAAAATTCTTTCCTGACCTTCAATGATGACAGTAACACTGTTGAGCATGCGCATTTGCCATTGGATCATAGAAATGTTCTACTGATTTTTATTTCTAAGCTGCCATATTTTTTCCTGTTGTATAGTATTTGAACTTTCACCATGTTAAAATTGAACTAATTATGTAGGATAAGATTGTAAATTTGTAATGAAATTTTAACTTCTAATACTCATTGTGCTAATAATACTAATTCTCATTTTTAGCTCCAGAAAGATCTCATGTTGCTGTTTATAGAATTTATGTGTAATCGAATGAATTTTAACCCTTTGTAGGTATTTCAATGTGCGCTAAGTCTTAAGACACTCATATTCCCTCTTTCTATCGTTTGTTTTTGTGTCGGTATCTTTATGTACGGAACTGAGAGAAGTCGGTTGGAGGGGGGTGGCCCCTCCTAGAAATCTATGTGGGCCCCACCAAAAACTGAGAGAGATTTTCTTAGATAAGCGTATGGCGTATCCATCAATTTTGAAATTGTATTCCAATCAACTTTTTCGTATGAACTGCTCAACATTTATCTTGAGCTCACTTTTTTTACATTTTTCCGCGAAGGACCCCCCTGGTGGGGTGTCACGTAAAAATAATGATGACGTTCTTACGCAATACTTCTATTTCGCGAAGGCACTCGCATGTTTTTCATTATATTTCATTATTTCATTTATTTAGTTATTTCATTATATTTAGCGTCAAAATTTCAAGGGAAGTTGCAAATGCAAACAAACATAAATTACATCTGAAAGTATCATATCAACTTTGTCATAAAACATAAAACGCACTTAATATTCAATCAATAATACAAGCTACGACCCAAAGAGAGAGAAGAATCCGTTAATAAGACATTAATTAAATGTCTCCACGGTGAAGCCCCTTCCTCCCGTATAAAACGAATTTTTCTCAAGAGTAGAGTCAAATACCGTGGTTAAGTAATCATTAAGATAGTTTAAATTATGGAACTTAAGTTCAGACACACTACAAGATTCCTGACGAATGAAAGCTTAACGAGACAACCCACCAGAGACGTTGACGTCCCCGGGTTAATTTTTGGAGCTCAGAAATCATGCATGTTAATTACGACATTGCACTCTTCCAATTAATCAGTTTCAGTTTGTGACTTTTCAGTCTGAAATTACTGGAATTCAAAGATGCGAGTGCCACTGATATGCAACTTTGCCTCAGTCTGGGAGTGTGAGAAGTCAGGAAAACTGGAGCTCTCACATACTGTGTTGCCATTCAGTACTCGCCTACCGCACGAAGTTTCCCACTACGTAATATATAATTGCAGCTAAGTGCATCATCGGCGACCACGTGATGTGACGATTGGGAGGAAGTGAGCTCAGCTCCGACTCACATTGAGATTTGTCGCTTACTGCTGACTGCGTAGTATTTTTTATTCACTTCGCGCTGTTTCGTCGCCTCTCTGGCGTAAGGGGATATGTCCATTTCTCGTGAGCCCTGAATTACATATAAATGCATGTTTGTTGGGGCTTATGTAGAAATCCAGGTACGCCCTTATGTCAGAGGATGCAGCTGCGTGTCTTGTTTTGCGATGAATCGATTTTTCTGCCATGTAAACCTGTAGAAAGGATCGAATATGAGGGCGTTCGCAACAAACACCTCAAAAATCGATTCTATACCATAATTTCAAGTGGGAAGCTATCGATAACCGATAATTCTCACTTCGCTACTGTTCTTGTGTGAAGTAGAGAAGTTCAGGGATAATTAGTTTGCTTGAGGTAATGCACTTATTGTGGTGCTGATATATCGAATTATTCTGACTACTTAAGCAAAAATATTCTTGCTCTTAGAAATAAACACAATTTTCCCAGAATTTTCTGCGTAGTGGCTAGAAAAATAAGCCAACATTTTATAAATAATGTTCGTCGATATTCCCTTGAAAATAAAATGTACGAAGACATCCGCTCTGTCGCAAATCGAGGTACATATTTTGCATATTTCACCGTCAGTATTGAATAGATCGAGATCCTGTGTATTTTGCAATCTAGCGTTCTAAGTGTAGTAGCTATTTGAATTTAATTTTACTTGACAAGACCTATCGTTTTCCTCTTAAATTGACCTGTACCTAAAAGTGCGAAATACGAGGTGGAATCTTTCATTAACTTTCTGATAAAATAACACAAAATTTTGATGCAGAGGGCGGGATACTGTTCTCATCAAATTGGAACCATGTCAAAAATATTCTTATTTACGTGATGGTATATTGATGGTATACTCAGAGGAGTATCCAAAAATTGGAAGGCATGAAATTAAATCTTAACTTATTTAAATTTTTAGGCATCTTATTACATAGTAAGGAAAAATGCCTGACCAAAATGTGTCAGAACGGGAAGTAGAACACGAAGTAACGCAAGCTTTCGGTCGATTTCGTTTAGTTAGGGTCAACAGGACGCTTTTGATCATGAGGTGTCTCAAAGTAT